CAGTGAAGTTGCTCTCGACGTAGCCATGGAACGCTGGACGACAGACTGGGAGCTGGCCAGGGAGATGGGTTGGGTCCCACGCCGCGTTGAGGTTCTCGCTCATGGTTGCCGTCAAGTGGTGCGCATATCCAGGGGTCGGTGCCATGATCATGTCACGGCTGGGAATGGCATTGTTGCCAGGGTTGACGCAGACATTTTGCTGGTGAGCCGGCGAGATGGGGTCCAGGGCCGTGAGGAAACGCCATGTTGTTCCCGGAGGGTGGTACACACGTTTGCCACGGTTGGAACGGCGACCCGATGACGAGGTTTCTTCACCGTCAGTGTCAGTAGGCTTGCGGCCCTTGCTGGTGCTAGTCGGCTTCTCGTAGATGGGGTTCCACTTGTCATCAAAGGCGTGGACGGTGCGGAACTTCCACAGGATCACGCCGCGACGCGTCCACTTACGGCGGTCGGCCGAGCCGTCAGGGGGTGCGGACCAAAGCTCCTGGAACATGGCGATCTGCTGGATGAGTTCCGATGTGGTGCGCTCCGACTCAAGTGCGGCCTGCTCGGCGGCCTTGACCTCTTCACTGCTGAGACCCTCGCTCTTGATCTTGGCGTCGATGGGCTCCTGGAGGTAGGTGGCGCAATTGCTAAGGATGCTCGCCCACTCGGCAGCCGGGAAGGGGACGCGGACGTCCTGACGAGTCCGTGTGCGGCAGTCGCACTCAGGACCGCGGGAGCTATCGGCACCGTTGCAACCAGGGCGGTGCGTGTATTGCACACCGACCTCGCTCGTCTGCTCGACGATCAGAGGCTCGCCGTCGCCAGCGCGGCACAACTCCTCGGGACGCTGCAGCCTGGTGATGCACTTCCATCGGTGGTTCTGAAGCTGGGGCTGAGCAATGTTCAATTCGACAAAGCCATTGAGTTCGGAGCCCGACGGGAAATTGCTGCGAGGGTGCAGCTCAAGAGTGACGGTCATCTCCAGCATGTCGAGCCATCGGTTCTCAGCAGTGGCAGCTTCGAGGCTACGGTGGAGAGACGGGAAGCGTGTCTCCCATTCCTGGTCAATCTCAGTCGCCGCAGCGGCCTCCTTTTGCGCCAGTTCGCGGTTGTACTCATGGAGAAGAACGCTGCCGCTGCTGAGACCCCGGTTCAGGCTGCTGTCAGACTCCTTGTTGAGGTTCTTCTCAAGGTGAGGGTAGGCATCGGCGTTGAGGGCCTTGCCGTTACTGTCAAAGGCTTCACCCGTGTTCTCATCCATGGTGACACACTGGGAGGAGACAAAGATCCAGCACGTCTTGGGGCGCATGACGACCATGGAGTCCATGGCAAGGATCTGGGAGAAGTACTCATAGTTAGGACGAACGTCAGGCAGACGACCCTCGGAGAGAGCTATGAGGACTGGGTTGTCCTTGAAGGAGGCAATCTCAGAGTTGCTGTCCTTCAGACGAGCCTCGCTCTTGTCAGCATCCTTGACGAAGAAGAAGTGGTCTGCGGCTGTGTTAGTCATGCTTGCACAAACTCAGAAAAGGTGGTCCCGAACACGTACAGCATCGGTGCTTTTCAAACATCTTCTTCACAACTTGAATGTGACTGGAAAACCTGCTTGCGCTTGCGCTCCTCGGTCTTCTGTCCAGGCTGCAAGCTGCAGCAGTAGGCAATCCAGAGGTACTCGCTGATGAGCATGTTGCGCCCAAACTGCTTGCCTTGCATGCTATACTTTTTCCTTCCCATGTGAGGGATGATGAGGAGTGCTGCTGTCGTATTAGTGACACGTGCTTTCATACAGAACCCAAACAAAAGCCAACTCACAGTCAAGGAACGCATCCTCCAGGACGCGAGGCCAGATCTGCTTCTCATTGGGGTCCTTCTGGTCCTGCTTGTCCCTGTAGGGACGGAACTCGGGCGTGAAGTAGATGGGGTTGATGTCCTGCCTCGACCGCCTCGCGAGGCGGAGGTGCTCGGCGCGCGTCTTCATGCCCATGCCGGCCATGCCTCCCATGCCCATGCCGCCATTGCGGAAGATGGAGCCGGCCTGCGAGGGCACGACGGGGGTGGGGATGGACGGCGGCAGCGACGGCGAGAAGAGGCCCAGCGTCGGCACCGGGCGACAGGACGACGGTGCGGCTGTTTGTGAGAGGGATCCGAGGCCGTTGGTGATGTGCTGGGCGTTGCCCGTGGTGTCCCTCAGGGGCTGACGGGACAGGCTGTGCTGTGGCCTCCTGCCATGGCCGCCGTGGGAGGATGTGTTGGTGTTGCTGCCCGGGTGCTCATACCCGTAGACGGGGGATGGCATCATGGGGCGAGGCTGCTCCATAGCTGCTGCTCGTGTGCCTGTTTTGCCACCTCGAAAGGGTAGTGTATCGTGAGTTTCTCTGTCAGGATCCTCAGAGGAATCTCTGAGCTGTTGCTTGCTGCCTGTGTGGCAAGAGGAGTGGGAGCAATGCAAACAGATTCCGAACAAGAGACGGAAGAATGAAGAGAGGACACAAGATGAATGCCTCTGAAATGGGGGTGCGGCTGCTGGAGAGGAATTCTGCCTTTAAGGATAGGGAAGGACCCAGATACTCAGGGGGTCACGGGACGGCGGAAGTGAAAGGGGTAGAAGGCTGGATGGGTACGGGTTGACAACAAAATGACAGTCTCGCCACGAGAATAATTAGGTATTAGGTACGGGATACTCGGGCCCGCAGATGAAGGAGAGTGGGATGGTGGTATCGAGAGAGAGGCGAAGGGTGGAGAGTGTAGCCTGAGTGAGCCGATGAGGAACGAGAATCTTCAACTGGCATGAAAGGGAAGAGGATGTGTACGCAATATAAGTGCCAATCAGCTCGAGGTTGGAGGAATGAGGGCCGATGATCTAGAGTGTGGTCTCTCTACTTACTCACTCACACACACACTCTGACCCGCGAGACCGATATCCATCTCGTAACGTACAGGGGGGGGGGGGACCAAGAGACGAGCATGACCACCGATCCCAAGCGGAGAAGTGCCGAGTCGATCACCAGGGTCAGATCCGGCAGCCCTGTATAGACTGATAGTCTGTAGAGTATATCAATCGTGGATGCCATGGCTCACCCCTCGCTAGCACCCTTCCACGCGGGGAAGACACGTCCAGGAGTGCGTCGAGGAAGGACCGCTACGGGTGCTTTGACGTGATGGCAACAGATACAGTGAGCCCTGTCGACTTATCGCGATCCATATCATCGGGCCCGGCAAGGGGGGCGTGTGCCCAAGGGAGGTCGAGGCAGCACCCCTCCAGCTCAATCTGGCAAACGGCCAGAGGAGCCTCGTCTTCCTGTGAAGGAGGGTGCGAGCTCAGGTCGGCTCGAATAGGAAGCCCATCCACAAAAAGTCAGCTAAGTGGTATTCCAAAGAGGGGCCTGGGGCAAGGAAAGGGGAGCAGGGTGCCTGGTGTGCGCGAGGAGAGGTGTAGCTACTGAGCCCTACCGAGCGACTCATCTCGCACGCCACTAGTACGATGGATCAGTCGCGCAGCAGGACCTTGACGAACAGGTAGGGGACGATGGCAGGGTGTAGCAACGCGCATCGCCCACTCCGCAGCACATGGCTTTGCAGGATGTAGTTGGAACATGCAAGGGAGGGGTGGCTGCACGCACCATCTCATGATCCCACCATAACCTCGATGACAGCGCAATGGCCAGGTATGTACCTGAGATTAGCATCTGAGACAAAGAAGACGACGCGCTGCGCGCTTGCATTCCCCAATCCGGAGTGGGGGAGAGCGTTTTCCCTGCGATGCCGTCGAGGGACCGTCGCGTCTGCATAGATGGGCCACGATCCAATAGAGGGCGACCGCGACGACCTTACAAAGGGATGCACCACGCCCAATCCGCCTGGCTAGGAGCAAAGCCGCTGGCACACAACTGATTCTATCCAACAATAGCAGATGGGGTCGCCGTCGATAAAGGGAAAAAAGGGCTCTCGCAAGGATTCAATTATCTGATTCTTTCATGCCTCTGGCTGTGGTGAAGGATTATGGCCCTCCGGCTTGTGTCTGACTCGGATTTAGACTGCGAACTCGTCCTCATTGTCCTCCCCGATCGTGATCTTCTTCCTCGTCTTGCCCGTGAGTTGCGCCAATGCGACCTTGTTGACCTGCCCACCAACCTTCTTCTGCATCTTGGCAATTTCCTCCTCGGCATCCAAGGCTTCGGCTTCAGCGTAATCGAGCACCAATCTCCTGCCCAACAGGTGGGTGTGCTGTAGCGCATCGATTGCATTCTGCGCCTCCTTTGGCGTCGAGAACTCGGCAAATGCAAAGCCGCGAGTCGACTGACCCATTTTCTTGGGAAGCCGTACTGCCCGTAATGTCCCGTACGTGGCGAACAGCGCCCGCAACTCCTTCTTGCTAATTTCGAATGGCAAGTTCTTGACCACGATCTTGGTCCGTTGGCCCGCCATCTTCTTGGCCTTGTCTTCTCTTCGCCTCTCTTCCGCCGCGTCTTGACCCCTGTGCGATGCCCTAACGCTGAGTGTGTGTGCATCCAAGACCTGGCCGTCCATCGCCTTGATTGCAGCCTGCGCTGCTTCGCTGCTGCGGAAGGCAACAAAGCCGAAACCCATTGATAGAACCTGACCAGGTTTTTTCGGATCTGTCTTTGTCTTGACCTTGGCTGACACAAAGCCCTCCAAGGACTTGAATGCGTTGGTGAGGCCCTCCGACGTTGTCGAGAAGTTAAGGTTCCGGACGAAAAGTGACTGTCCGACAACCTCTTCCTCTTGCTCATCACGCTCCAGCAGCTGTGTCACATTGAGCTTCTGCACGCCAGTAGGCTGATCACCCTGTTCCGGCGTCATCTGCACAGCATCATCTGGTCCAAACAGATCTTTCGGCCCTTTCTCGAGAAACAAGACTGAGTCTTTGATCCGACGGTAGGCGAGCCTTCCGAAGGCTGCCTTGCCCTGTCCAGGGGCGTACTGGACAATGGCGATCGTCTTGCTCGGTGGCATAAGTACCCGGAGCACAGTTCCGTGCTCCGCGAATAGCGTCCGCAACTCCTCCAAAGTGGTCCCGTGGGGAAAGTTTTTCACTAGGATGGTCGAGTCACCACGCTTTTGCGACTTGAGGGCGTTCAGGTCAACACCATTGGCCAGGAAGTACGCCTTGGTTTCTTGGATCACCGACGTCTCGGCCACTGCCTGTTTCACAGCCGCGGACGCGTCGGTAGGGTCCAGAAGGTCCGACTTGGAGACTCCGAGACGGCTCGCCACCGAGGTGTTGATGGCGTCCTGGCTCATATACAACGCATTCCAGTTGAAGGTGTTGGTGGAGGCTTCGGCCTTCTTACGGACCCGCTGTTGAACCTTTAGGGGCAGTTTGGACAGCGAGTATTCGTCCAGATCCTGGTCCCGCCGCGCAGCCGCGGGTAAACATGGAGCAGTCGCCCTTGAAAAGTCTGCCCATCTGACGACTGGAATGCAGTGACAGCGGCATCAGCACTGGCAAACGAGACGTATGCGAATCCCTTGCTCGTCCCAGACTTCGCCACCGGGATGTGTACCTGAGACCAACTTGTCAGTATTCTGATTCATGGATAGTTTAGAAAAAGCGTCATGAGGAGATGATCATGTCAGAAAGCCAAAGCATCTACTAAAATACTGGTCCAAGGTTCGCATCAATCACCAAAGGTGTAAGCTGTCCCTATCTGGATTCATCATGTGATCGGTGGGGCTGCCGTATGTTGTGGGAATGTGTGAAAAAGAGGGGGGTGGCCTACCTCCTCGACTTCTCCGTACTGTTCAAAGTGGTCACGGAGATCGTCCTCGCTGACACTGAAAGCCAGGTTTCGCGCAAACAATCGCGCGGTCTGGCGAATGGTGTTGATGGCCACCTCCTTGTCAGATTGTGCCGGCGCAGCCTTCGGCAACTCCTCGGCGGGTGCCTCACTGTCTTGACTTCGAGACGGCTCAGCAAGTGGCTTCTGACCAACATCCTCTACCGCCGCAACGTCCGTCATGACTTCGTCCGCAGACTCATCACGGGTTTCCTTATGGACAGGGGGCGGCAGCGGAATCTCTTCATCATCCGCCACGAGGTCCAACATCCTGTTGGTTCGCGAACGCAGCCAGTCATCATCTGTAGCTACGGGGTCCACTGCCTTGGAAGAGTCGACCTGTGTCTTCGGAACAGGCTCGGCTTCCTGTGGTGGTGCAACAGTGTCTTCGGCGTCTTCAACAGGTGTCATGTGTGGGGGTTGTTGAGGCGGCTCAGGCTGCTGGTTGCTTGGCGCTTCCCTCATCTGCTTCTTGTCTGGCCTCGTTGGGATGGTCTCATATTCATCATCGCTCTCGCCATCTTGAAGAAGCTTCTTCTTCTCAGCGATCGCCTTGCTGTCGATGACTTCGGTCATCTCATCCGCGGCATTGGTCTTTCCTGGCTGGAAAGTCTGCAAGTACTCCGCAACTTGGGGTCAGATTCATCAACCTCGTCCCTCTTCCGTTTCTTGGCCGCTGCATCGCCGTTGGCGTCCCGAACCGCATTAGCCGGCGGGAGCGCTGTCGACGATGCTGCAGGGGTCGATTGGTCGCTCTTCCAGTTCCTCTTCAGAGCAGGGTCTGCAATCTGAATCAAACTGTTAGCATGCCTGTCGCTCTTCTCTTCTTGGGGGCGTGGCAGGGTAAAACATACAGGTCTTGCAAGCTGCACTTCGATCCTCGACATGCGTATGTACGACTTGTTGAAGTACCTCACGGCCTTCTTCGCATCCTCCGATGTCTTGAAGCCGACATAGCCAATTCGCCGAGGCAAGATGACCTTGACATCGGTGACTTCTCGTCCGCCAGCCGAGAAGTGCTTCTTGAAGTCGGCATCGCTGATCGTCGGGGGGATGCCCTTGACGAAGATTCTTGAAGTCTCGAACTCTGCGTCCGAAGGCTGTGCCGACATTTTAAAAGGGGGTGTTAAATAAGCCTTGAGGGCGGTAGAGTCCGGTACTATGAAGGCTGTAGCATTGTGGTGTGGTGAAGTGATGGCAGAAGCCGCTTGATCGTATGGCAGGATACATGGAGTACTTTTTTTTCGCGACTTTTTCTCCTCTGCCAGCTCCTTATCGCTATCAACATGTGACCGTCCGCCTGGTCAGCGCCCCACTATTAGCACGCGGCAGTCAAGACCACACGACCCACAGCAGCATCATGTCCACTCAACCTGGGCAGGCTGGCAGGGAGGTATTGAAGAGTCCGTGGGTGGCCCGTGCCACATGACAACCCGATCCCCGTCGCGCAGTGACCTCTCTACGAGTGCTAGCTGGAGTGGAAGGAGATCGCGAAACACCAAAGCAAACAAACCCCGACCAACCCACCAGCTTCCTAGGACGTAAGGCTATCGTATCTGGGAACCAATCTTCCACCTCACGCTCTGTCTTCAGTAACCACAATTGCCTTGAAAAACACGGTAAGTGCGAGATTTGCGACACCGCAGCATTTGCGCAACAAGCGGGGCTTGTCGCCCAACCCTCGAAAAGGGGTAGTCAGCAGCTTCTGCCCAAAACATGACCGCCTGTCCTGAGAGACCATGTTTAGCTCGGCCACTGACAGCAACTTAACAGCTCAACCACCGACCGAAGCAAATCATGGCCGACAAGGGAAGTGCTGAGGCTCCAAGGGAGGCGAAGCTTGAAGGTTTGTCGCCTACCGCGCCTGCCAAGACGACAGTCCGTACTGACGCGCATTGCGACAGCCCAGATTAAATCCGCAGACATGGTATGGTGATTGCCATTGCCATCGAATCATGCCAAGGCTGACACATGCCAGACCGACGATATGCAACAGGAGGTCATCGAAGTCGGTGGGTAGCTGCTCGGTCAATCACTGGTGTTAGGAGGGTTCTAATACGCCGTGGCACAGCTCAGGAAGCGATGGGTCGATTTACAATCGAGAAGGTATTGATCGCCAGCTCCTATGAATCCGATGTGCAGAGCTTATCAGATATCTTAGGACATTGCCCAACAGATCAAGAAGACGGTACAAACTTCCCCGCCATCCGCCGCACAAACGAGGTACTGACGTTTCGGGATCAGTTCGATGAGCGCAAGGGTCCGACGTGGCACTGCATTGTCGGACGCAACTTTGGAAGCTTTGTGACGCATGGTACGAGTTGATGTCATCGATGCCTCGTCATTTCCGTCGAAAAATGATCATTGCTGACATAAATGAATCCCACTGAGCAGAGACGAAGCATTTCATCTACTTCTACCTTGGCCACTGCGCCATCCTCCTCTTCAAAACCCAATAATGGCGGAGCAACTGACCATACGATGACCGACCTTAAAATCAGCCCGGAGTTCCCATTTTATCTTTGCCTTTTAGCTTCGAGGGACGCAGCAGCGCACGAAAGAAACGAGACTCTGGACCGTGGACGAGGATCAAACGAGTACGGCATAATGCGAATATGGAGTCGCCTGTGTTCGGAAACGGATTGGTCTGGGTAGCTTCATCTAAGTGAGCTATCGGATCGACGTCGTCGATAGATATAGTTCGCAGCGGGGCTGTTCTTGAGCAACTCGTTCTAGACAATACCCAGTATCAGGCCTGAATCATTTTAAGGTCATGTCCAGTTCAGTATGCGATCAAACCTTGAGGGAACTGGCGATGGCGCAATAGATGTTGCTCGAAGAATCGATCGAGCAAGCTGGGTGCGAGGTCCATACCTACAATGGAGGCCAAAACTGTACCGAACCCAGATCAGCAGATTAGGGGACCTCGAACACCAGATATCGTGGGCAACCAATATCATGCTGTCAAGACCGTCGAGCACTTGGCCGCGCGGTCTATTTACTCTTCCCCCCCTCCCATCATTAGCCACGAGTAAAATCCAGTTCTAGTGTGCATTCAATGCCACGCGAAAAATCCCGTCCATAGCTTCCGGAAGCCGCCCCGATGTCGCCAGCAACGGCACCCCTCCCCTGCCCCACTCACTACGTCTGCCCGCAGCGTCAAATTGCCCCCAAGGTAGGATCGACACCCGCCTTGTGCGGGTGCTTGAGGAAAAGCACACCCCTCTCACCCGAGAACGCTATTGTGAAGAAGACCGGGTCCTCCAACTTTCTCTTTACCGGTCCACAAAATTCCGCTTCGGGGGAAGCGGGGAGGGGAGTCCGCAGGAGATTCAAGGGGAGCGCGACGGTTATGGGGGTGAAGGCACACGCTGATTCTGGTGCGTGAATGCCGTCCTCCTCTACCCTCCCGCTCGGCCACATCTCTGGGATAAGCTGGTGTGTGCTGGGGTAGCCGTGGTAAAATATCTTTGTGACGGCAAACCAGAACGTGCGTTGTTCGTCTTAATAACTGCTGCGATCTCCGGGTCTAGAATGCTTGCCGGGGCTTAACATGACAAGCAGATTTAATTCCTGCATGGCAGTCAAAGCAACCCTCAGCTAAGGTAATACAATGTACGTTTAGGCTAGACTACCAAACCAGACGATGGTCTGGTGGCCTCGCATCAAAAAGTCACAGCTGCAAAAGGCAAGCGCTGTTGCCGCTTTAAGATGGATGTTCAAGGAGAATCAATTATGATTCCCGCTGCTACTGCCTCTCATTTGCAATAGGACATCAGTACGTAAGACTTAAGATACTCTGGGTCATTTCGTCACGGGTTGTTTCCCTAGACGACTTGTATGCAAAGTTTTGCTGTACTTGGCTTTGAGTGTAGTACATCGTCCCGATGATGGTCACTTTGTGCCTCCCACATCGTCAGTGATTCTTCCATGCCTCTTTTATACGGCGTCCGTTCTCGCTCTCAATGCCCATGGCTCAACTTTGGCTCGATTCTGAAGTGAATCTGTAAACTAAATTGTCTACATCCACAAATGGTATCGAGAGACTCATTACTTCTGTTTCCATTCTACCTACAGAACTCTACGGAACCGTGATTTCAAACTGTCGAGTATCCTGCAGTCCTTTGACAGTTCAACTGCGGAGCTCAGGGGCAGAGCTGCACGATAGAGCACGTCCTGGGCTTTGAGGTGCGGACTGCTTCATCATGGTGCGGTAACGAATATCTCCAAGATGACGTTGAGGCAGAGAAAGAGAATCCAGCCAGCGTTCTCTAACCTCTCATTCGACCTGGCTCGAAAGTGCCGGGCTCGAATCAAGGTTGGATACCGGGTCACATGGCATATCTTCTGGCTGACCGGCAGAGCTCCTTTTGCAAGAGATACGATGGCCTTCTACGCTACTTTCAACTGACGTAGGTGCAGATTAACATAAAAAACGAAGAACTAGTGAGTATCGAAACGTCAGGTCTTGGTCGGGACTTGAGACCCAACAAAGATCATGTTCTTTAGCGTGTCGAGGTTTTGGCTGGAAGGTCACAATTGTCGGCATTCGCTAGAACATCGGTTTCTTCATTTGCCAAGGTTCCAAGCGACTCACCCTGCCAGGCTACTCGATGAACTTATTCTTGTCAAAGCACAGCCGCACTCGCTCTGTATTTCTGGTTCGGGGACAGTTTGATCATGCCTAGGCTGTGGGTCACGGACAAGCAGCAATGAATATGCGGCAGGTAGACTGAAGTGTTGGATTCAGATGTATCCTCGTATTTATTCTTGCCGGTCTGTGTTACTGCCCGGGGAATTTGAGACGAACACCCTCGAAATCCTGTTTCCCGCAGTCACTTACTTAGCAGCAATGCCTGAACTATGACTCCAGAACGAGCATGGGGCAAGAAGGGGCAATTACGCCGCCATGATATATGAGCATTGAAATTAGCAATGATACAGGACAAGACATCTCGTCAGTATGAACCCCAGATTCGTCGTTGATGTCGTTGATCCGATAGCAAAAGAGCTTTGCCACAGGGTGAATACCTTCCTCCGGGCGTTCGCACCGAATGCTGGCCATGTTGGTTCCGACTTGAACATCCATCAGGACTGCGTATCCCATGCAAACCTAATTGCTCTCCGTGATCCAACTGAACAGTCACATCAAATCATGCCTGCGCCTTCCCGATACCTGAAGTAGTAAGTTCCGGCAGCTCGCTATCGTGTCAGGCGCCTTGGAAAAAAAAGTGGCAGACGTGATGATTAGGTACCTAGATCCCCTAGCATTTCCCACCTAAACAGAAGTCTCCTACCATCCAGTTATCCGGCCGGCCTTGCATTTCTACTACATCCTTGGTCCGTCGGGGCATAGTATCAATCTTTAACGTCTGCCACTATTTTTTATTCTTTTTAAGCAAGGCGCTTGCGCTTCAAATTCACGGGTGTTGAGCGACCGAGACGGATCGGCCCTGAATCAGCCAACTAAAAGCAGCAAGCAATTGGAACATATCCGATTCATGAACTGGCAACCAAGCAAGGTTCCTGAACATTCGTCACCAAGCTTCTGCCGCACATGAGTGTGCAGGAAATCCATTAAATGTCAATCAGAGGATACCAGGTGCGCCGATCCTCTTGGTACGTTTTGACCAAGACGAGCGACAATCACCACCGCTTCTTGCTCAACGCTGCATCAGCCACGTACGGTCTGGTGCTCCGAGGTTGCAGCTTGGGGTGGGCTATGCTACGCTTTACGGAACAACTATGGATTGCATTGTTCCCTGGACGAACGCATCCAGGTATTTGACCGCACCCATGTCATTCATGGCTTGCCTCGGTGCATATCCAAGCGGTAAATGCGGGGGCCGTCAGTTCCCGTGATATTGGGCGGCGGGAAGGGTGTCGGAGCGACGGCAGCGAGACCCTTTCACCTTAGCGCTCGCTGGTCGACGTTGTCCCGCCCCGACCGACTGTGAACATGCTGATAACCTTTCCCAGTTGTGTGCGACGCTACCCTGTGAGCGGCAGCTCCGAACCGAGCAGGTCGAGTCACTGCCCCGCAGCTTTCAATGGTGATGGGACACCCCAAGTTCTTTTCCCGGGGAGAGCAAAAGGCGCATAAACGGTGCCACCTCCATAAAGTCAGTGATTCTTGAGTCGTACT